AGCTATACTAAAATGAAAACCAGCATGCCACCTGCACGGCCGTTGTGCAGCGGGTAGGTACCGGTTCTTCCGCCGTCTCGGTAAGAAAGACTGCCCGCTCCTGTCTGCCAGTACAGTGTAGTCGCAGTACTCAAAGACAGGAGCAGAACAAAAGGTTCGCAATTAAATCTTAAGTCCCTTCTGATGCTGGGAGCCCGGCGGTTTCGTGGCCTGGGGTGGGCCCTGAGTCTCGCCTGCGGCGAGGCCCACCGCCGTTCCGGTCCTCGGCGCTCCCGCAGGGTCTCCTTGGAAGGAGGCAGCTCTGTTCGTCCTTCCCGCTGTCAAGGAAAAGGACGTTCACGTGAGAACACGCCGCTTCAGCGTTAAGGACACGGACACGCAGGCGGCACTGAGGTGGCAAAGTTTGTCTGTCCCGCAGCCCCAGGACACGTGCACGGGCTGAGGAGGAGCAGGTCAGCTGTTGGGCGGTCACCAGCTCCCCCCCCTCACCGGTCTCCCAGCTGGGATCACTGCCACTAGCAAGGCCTCTCTCAGGCGCTCTTGCCACTTCTTGGTGAGTGTTTTCAGAGGAGAAAGGTGTTTGTTTAACAAAGAAAAGCTGTGGCAAAACAATCTGATAGTTGGGATTCTCAAATCTGATTGGTAACACGCTTAACTGATTTGGGGTGAGATTATTTGAAGCATATTTGCAAATCGCTCCCTGACAATAGCAGAAAACAGGATCCATGCCAGCTCTACAGAATATACCAACCACCTTTGACTTTGTTGTGAAACAAGGTTTAGTGGAAAGGTCAACATTCGCCTTTGTTTCATTTCCAGTTAAACCCTGTCAGTGGAACTCAGAAAAGGCCTGAGCATTTTATGAACATTAAACCATGTTAATCTACAGGGGATTACTTTGAGATAACAAGAATTTACCTATCTCCGTTGAGAACATAGACTGGCCAATTGCAAAGATAATGAATGGTTTCCACCTTTTTGTGACGCTTACCTAAGTTAGACAAAAACGAAAAGTATGCAGTCATACCCAATTATGAAGAAGCACAGAGTAAGAGGGGAAGGGGAGGAGCAGCATGGTTGCTACAAGCATCTACAGATTCTAGCAAGTTGCAAGTTTTGAGCAGAAAGGACCACACAGCTGAATCTACGCAGTTAGAAAACTCAGTATCAAAACATATCAGTGCATCTACACTATCAAATTTTGAATTAAAGGGAAATTGAATACATAATGCTGCGGAAGTTCAGAAGTATCAGAATTAAAATCATTAGGCTCAGTCCTCAGCTTCCTATAAATAAAATGATCAAACAACTCAACATTCAACATTCAGAGAAAAAAAGTGTTGATATTCTTGTTTGTTGTTAAATTCTACAGCACTTAACAAGATAGATTATTACTAGTCTTATATACCATACAGCAGCCGATGAAGGAATAGAACCAAAACACTTAAGTAGCAGTTGCCACAGTATCATTATAGTAATTTTTCAAATGTCTGGTAGGTGTTAAAAGAGTCGTCGTAAGTTTTGAATTGGAATATTTCAACAAAATCAGAACACACTTGAGTCTCAGGAGACATGTAATCACTGAACAAAAAGGGAAAGGTAAAGGAAGGGAGTGAATGTTGTTCAAGAGATGCTACAAAATAAACCTTACACAATTTATGAAGCTTCACTGTAATGAAGCTAATAAGAGGAAACAAATTACAAAAGCAAATCTTTAGTGTAGAAACACAAAAACATGCCTGACTTCTACCTCTGAAAAAATTGTTGTATTGTCCTGGTAAAAGTGAACAAGGGGATATGACCAAACATAATGTCAGAAAGTGCTTATCAGTAACTTTCACTGCTAAGGTGCAATTTCTATATCAGACCTGTTATTTTCTGGTAATAAGGGGAAAGTTGTCTCAAAAGACTAGGAAGCAGACACATTTTTAAAAATGGAATATAACTTTGATGTCTCAAATAACAGTAGTAATGTTGGTCTAGCTGTCACGATATAAAAATATAAGTGAAAGAAGACTCTCTGCATTTTAAAAGAAAATGAAATTCATCTAAATAAGCTATTGCTCTGCTTTACCAGTCTTACTTCTGTTTAGATGATACTCATCTGGGAATTTAGGAAGAGTTTAAGAATGGATTAACTGATCTATTAAAGTAGATCAGACGGTTTAGAGAAGAAAATGTCTGCATTTAAAAACATCCTGTAGGATAACCTGAGAAATTATAAGACTACAGTCTTATAATTATAACCTAATAACCTAATATAATTATAACCTTATAACCTAATATCTGTAGGGGAAAACAATAATTAAACCCAGTAACAGCTAGAAAAACATGATCTGAAAGTGTCTAGCAGTAGTCTTCTGTAAAGGTAATAATGTCTCAATAATCTCTTACAGGAATGTCTAACAGCTACAGGAATGTCTAAGAGCTAACGAATATGTAGAAGTCTCAGACGTAATTTTGACTTTTGAGGGTTTGGCCAAGTGTCGTTCACAGGGCTCAGGACACCTGAGTCTTCATTGTAAACTTGCATCCCTACACAGTCTCTGCTGCCCACTACATATTTAAAGAAAAACATAGCACTCAATTACAAAATTTAAAAACAGGCCAAGAGACCTTTGACAAAAAATGCTACTAAGAAAAAATCCTGTCAGGTACAGACTATCACAAACAAGGAGAAAGCAGGCACCCATAGGATATGAAGGTAAGGCAGACACACGTTTCTGTTACGGGCCAAATATTAATGATAGATTACCTCAGTATTCTGTTTCGATACTATTTTGCAGGGGTTACAAAACTGTGGTACTATTGCACTAGTTGTATACAAGTTAACCCTATATGCCGTATAAATATCTGAAAAGCCTCATTCTGCATGGGTAGTTTCTGAGCAAACTGAGTTTGGGACTCTGATGAATTGTTTATTTATGATCTGAAAAAAAGGAACCAGTAGAGAACCAATGAATATTGGAGGACACAGTTACTTAGGTGAGTCAGGATAAGAGAGACTGCAAGAAACTTGAAATAGCCTAGAAGGTAAACAAGTGGGAAAACATGACAGCAGAAAATAAAATAAAATCTGATATATGCAGGGAAATGGAAATTATAAACATTGTCATATGGTTTACAGGATTCATACAGTTTCTTATGATGATGATTTGTCAATCTGAAGTTGTGATCAGAAAAGTCAAGCCCATAGAATAAATAAGACATAGGATAATGATAATGAATAATAATACAAAGAGTACCTAAGTACAGTTATGTCAAGCTGAGAAATAGCCTCATTTAGGATACACTGTAAATTTCTGGTCACCCTAGCTCAAAACAGAAATTGCAAAATTAGGAAGGACTGAAAAACAAAGATGAAGAAAACTCATGCAAAATAGATTAAGGAGGCTTTGATCATTTATCTTAGCCAAGTGTAGGAGGGAAAATATAAAAAGGTATGTAAGTGAGCATTTAATGACACAAAGAGTACTTAAAGCATTACATGTGGAGATTAAATTTATGGAAATAACATTCTCGATAGACATCTCATATTTATATTTCCATGTGTTTTAAATAAATCTTTTCCTGTTAGAAATATTTTATCTTGAATTCTCTCATTCCATTTCAACTTAGTTTTCTGAGTTACGATTTAGCTGTGAACGTACCCCCAAAAGCATCTGTTGTTTTGCAAAGCTAAAGGGCAAAGAGTTGGCAACACTCATTGGTTCAAAAGCAAACCGATTACATAGCAGGAAGAAATTTCCTCTTCACCTTCTGCCTAAATACAACTATGGACATTTGGAGATTGGCACCCGGTTCCTTCTCAGCTGTGTAACACTAGTTACTGTGAGACACTGATGTTGGCACCCACAGACCAAACGCGCATGGTTTTTTCTCCATGCACGTTCCCCTCGTGCTCCACGTAGGAACAGTACGGGCTAAAAGAAGTGGCAAATCTGTGCCGGTAACATGCTGAACGGAGTCCGAAATCCTGTGAGCCCAGGCCTTTTTTTCTTTTACTTGTCTTTCCAGGAAGTTTAGTAAGTAAGCTTATTCCTTGCTTATGTAAGACTTGCCGAGATTTCAGTTAAGAGCTAAATTACTTCCCATTCCGTGTGTAATGCATTTTGTCAGGGAATTTTCACGGTTTAAAGCATTATACGGACTATGAGTAAGGCAAAGGGAGACGACTGTCAGGGCCCTGGCGGCACGAACAGGCTTTAACCGGCCTCACCTGGGCCCGCACCCACCGCTGCCGTGGCCCAG